AGCGGGACAGAAATGGTCAAAGAGTTGGAAGTGTATCACAGTTTCCGATTGTCCTTGCTTATGCTGTCACGTGCCACAAGTCACAGGGATTAACTCTGTCATCTGCAGTTGTCTACTGCTCTAGAGAATACGTTCCGGGCCTAATTTATGTGGCAATTTCCAGGGTAAAATCTCCTGAACACATACACATTGTAAATTTTAATCGTCGTCAGCTTTTGAAGCCAGTGAAAAAGGCACTTGAAATCTGCTCTTCAGCCCATCTTTGCTCTCCAGTTGCGGATCTTTCCTGCTGTCGTAACAAGCCCTTCCAACAAGATGATTTGCTAAGTGTAAGAGACCGCTACCAGGAAATTGACCAGGAAAATGAGGAGCCTTTTCAATTTCCCTGTGACATGCTTGATGGGCCAGTACAGGCTTGTTTTGATAATGATGAAGTTGCTACCCCACTGGAGCTACTGGAGGTTTTCGACAGGCTAACAAGGCATGAATCTACACTTTCAAGTCCTCCTGAAGAATTTCTTACTTGTTGCCGAGATTATCTACTGTCCTTGAAAACAGGTGTAGTGGTGTCTACCTTCCAAGAAGAAGAGATCAATAGCATTGACTTCCTGCTGAATGACGATTGTTGGATGACAAAAGTTCCACCGTTTGTTAAACTAATTTGGTTTCATGCTTTTCAGATGATCGAAAACCACATCATCGAAAACCAAGATGACATTGTTGTTGACATTGGACGGCAAGAATTTTCTGAGGCAACTTACAAGCTGGATCAGTTTTTCAATGGTGATGATTTTTCTTTGTATGTTTGTGTTGTTTTTGGCACAAATAAAGGTACACTTCCTCAACGGGCCATTGCACGCAAGCTGGCCACTTTCATCTATTTCGGATTTCTGGAACGGTTGAAGTTCATTGTGAGACAGGACGAGATCTGTGAACCTGTTGCCTTTGATGTTGAAGAAATGAATGAGGTTGGGCTATCAAAGGTCCGTCATGTTGGTGGCTGGGCAGTGAGGAAAGTTCTCTCCCGAGCACGCAAGTATGTCCAAAAAAATGTTCATACAAATTCCAGTTCCACTTTGGCCACTGTTGAAAATCAGCAAAGAGTTTGTGAACTGTTAGAGGAAAACATCATTCAACCATATCATCATCTAGAGGAAAGTTCCAACTTCCCAGAAACCTTGCAAGTAACAGAGGCAAGACAGTATCGCCAACGCGGCCTGCTTCACATCTCTGATGAGGCCTACCTTTTCTTCTTAAATCTTGAACAGAGGAGAGTGGATTTGTTGAACATGCACATTTTGAAGAGGGCACGTGAAGGGATGGTGGAAGCAGCTATCAATTCTCTGTCTAAAGATGAAGAATTGAAATCAACTTGGTTTAAGTGTTTCCAAGACAATGCCACTAAAGACAAGGTAATGGACATATATTTCATGCATCAGATAAAAGGCTCACTAACTTGATTATTGGTACATCATTGAAAGTTTGATATTGTCCATCTTAATTACCAGAAAATCTAAATTTCTTATCATAATTAATTGTGTGCTTCCAGAAAATATTCATATCCCCCCCACGGAGGGTTTTTTTCCAGTTCGACTCTCAACCCCCCAGGATTTTCCGTTCCAGGGGGCTTCACAGTACTCCCCCCGCCCCCTGGAATTTCCATGAGTTTTCTACTTGCCCCACCCCCTACCCCTCGGAAATCCCGTATCCTTAACTCATTAATTGTAACAAAATTTAGCCGCAGCTGTTTATAGTTACATTGTAGACAAAGACGTACTTTTTCACGGTAGACTGCAGACGCAGCGCGTTCCTTCATGTCATATTAAAATGTTCGAACCGGTGTTTAAACTAATAAACAACTGACTTAGAAGCACTTCACTCCCAAATGGCATAGCAGCTGACTTTTTCTTCATTAAAGGAAGTTTTCATGTAAGAATCTCGGAACGTACATAAAGCTTTTTCAAATAACCCAGTTGAAGTTTTAATTTATGCATGGTCAAAACAACATATCTAATTACTTTACACACGCAGTAAAGTCATCACACAACATTTTTTCAAAACAGCTGTTTCCCAAAATTAATGTCGCTTTATTTTTTCTTTCGCTAAAGGGATACATCAATTAAGTCATATGCTTTGTCTCAGTCTGTAGTTTGTAAATGATAGTAAATTCATTTTATGCCTTAGTTTTTTTAATTGTCATACATTTCATACGGGAAACATGCATTATTCAATCTGTCTCTCAATAACCAAATGAAATCTCGGCTACCGCTCCAATTACAACGCTCCTCGCTGTCCACGTTTACATATAGTTCAAGACAAATGGCTTTGAATCGACTTTGCTCACTTAAAGCAAACTATTAACTACACGGATAATGATGAAAAATATGTGATAACCTAGTTACAGCAAGTCTGAAACAGGGAATAATTTTGTACGAGTATCAAACGAAATAAACAAAGTATGAGTCGCATTTAATTGATGGCATGATTAATGCTGGAAAAAGCATCTGAGCTGCATTTGAGCTAAATACAGAACGATCTTCAAAGTATAAAATATCATCAACTTCATTGTTCATGTATTGCTGCACCTCTTTGTCGGCATTTTGTTCAACTTGACATTCAACAAACACGATACTCAGGATTGCTGTCAGTCGTACGACGTTGGAAAAAAAATGGAAAATATATGACAAAGAATCTAACATTTATTTCTCAACAGATGGAACATTTCTGTTTGTTTGGTTACCTGAATCAATTGGGAAAGTACGGTAATGTTCATTCAGTCGCATTTCAGACCCACTGGAAAGAAAACTCCTTGAGTAGCCCCACCTCCCCTTCAGAAATTTACCTCTTTCAGACCCCCCTACCCCTCGGAATTTCCGTGACCCTCCGTGGGGGGTATGGATATTTTCTGGAGCTACACATTACGCATAAATATGTATTAATCTCAAGTGGTCAAAAAATAAAATATCAGCATTGACTTGTTGCTCCAAGACGTTTTGGTCGACTGTAGAGTGCAGGACTGTAGGCTGAGGGTAAAATGCAGACAACAGACTTTTTAAGTATATGTCATGTTATTTCCATTATCAAGTGCTANCTAACATTTATTTCTCAACGGATGGAACATTTCTGTTTGTTTGGTTACCTGAATCAATTGGGAAAGTACGGTTACGTAGTGTTCATTCAATTGCATTTCAGACCCACTGGAAAGAAAACTCCTTGAGTAGCCCCCTTCCCTTCGGAAATTTACCTATTTCAGACCCCCCTACCCCTCGGAATTTCGGTGACCTACAGTGGGGGGTATGGATATTTTCTGGAGCTACACATTACGCAGAAATATGTATTAATCTCAAGTGGCCAAAAAATAAAATATCAGCGTTGACTTGTTGCTCCAAGACGTTTTGGTTGACTGTAGAGTGCAGGACTGCAGGCTGAGGGTAAAATGCAGACAACAGACTTTTTAAGTATATGTCATGTTATTTCCATTATCAAGTGCTAACCCTAAACAGGGTTATTCAGGTTAATCACAGTGAAAGTCTGCTCTCCGGTTGGCTGAAATATCACTCCGGTTAGCCTGAATATCCCTCAGGTTAGCCTTAAAAATAATGCTCCGGTTAGCCTGTTTTAATTTACTTTCCAAAGAGCCAAAGATTTCCATTTGATTTAACTGGCATTGATAAAGTGAGAGAAGATTAGGGCTGATCAAACTTTGGAATATTATAATTTAACAATTTGAAAGTACAGCCTTTCTACTCATAGCAACTGAACAACAACAAAATGTACAGGATGCATGGCTCCTAATATTTACCCTTGGGACCAATGAACAATAATCATAACTAACAAATGAAAAGAAAATCCATTATTCTAGAAACAAAGCACCAGCATACACCTCAGAAAAGGCTAATGTATTGAATATTGAATGTAATTACAATAAAGCAAATCTACTGATTCAGAAGAAACGATTTCCCAACTATCTAGTAGGTAGGAGTGGAGCGTATATTAAGCTTACGTTCTACAACTCACGCTCATGTTAAAGGCAGTTATATGTACCAGCATGATCACGATTGTCATGAACAAGGTGACAACAGGTTTTGAATAAATTAGATGTATTTAAGCTGATGTTCGTGTACAATGGACCTTGAAAAGAATAATAAGCTCATAATAACAAGCTTATAACTTATCAGCAAAATCTAAAGTGAAATTTAAGAACTGAAAAGAAAATACAAAATGTCTTCCATCCATCACGACTCCAGGCGTAAGATAATATCAATAATCAATGCAAAAAAGTACAAAGCCTACGAAAGACAGCAAGGACATCTTTGTTTACATGCCCAAATTGGCAATGACGCAAAAAACTTAATATGTCAACAGAATTATTAGTTGAGTTTTTAAGCTTACTTTCACCAAGCGTCAACATGTTGTAATGCATTTTAAGCAAGGTAAATCTTACCAGAGGTGGTGGAAGCTCCATGCCACTGAATGTTAATATCGATTTAAAGGATTTCGTCGAAGAATGAGCGTTGTTTGCAATGTAGCTTTGCTTCTCTGAGCTTGTTTGCTCAAACAGCTCACGCAAACATGACGGCATCTCTCCCAAATATCGCTCCTGAAATTACAAATGATTGAAAGCTTTGAATTAGAGGTGACTAGTTGTTTAAAAATGTGCTAATAAAGTTGTGTTGTCGTGAAGGAAACAGAAAAAGAGTTGAAAAAATGTGTAACTAACCTCGAAGGCTTCCCGCGCCATATTTGAAACCGTCGATCTAACTAATGAAGGAAACCTGGGCCCGAACAAAAACTGCAGCTAAGTAGGGGAGGGAAAAATAATTTAGAACAAAAAGAAAATCAATACTGTTACTATTTCTCTCATGAAAAGAAATAATTTTAAGAGAAAAACGTAATTATTCCGAATTACAACAGGTCAAAAAGTGTTTTGACGGAAGAATGCTATAAACGTTTACTAAAAGATACGAAAGCACAATACTCACCCCACCCAAGAGGGATTGCTTTGTGAAACATGATTCAGTGCAAAAAAGACAAGAAGATGGGAAATTCAGTGAGCGAACGCGACAAGAATGAAGCCGATTTTGGAGACACATTATTCGAGATAGTGCATCTAATCTATCCAGAAAGTAGTGAAAACATTACCGGTATGTTACTGGAGTTAGAGCATGAAGAATTAAAGCGACTACTAACAACAACAAATCAGGGACAGCTTCATGCTCGAATTCACCAGGCTGCAGCAAACATCTCTCCTTCAAACGGCTCCGAAAGGTAAGATAAGCTTTCCGAACTTCAGAAAAAGCAATCTGATTTTCCCATTTAAAGTTAAATTTCGATTGATTTTAAACGAGTTTCTTGTTCGCGTGACTGAAATCGTCGTTTGTCATGTTTCTTTTTTTTTTTTTTCAACTGGGTTGATTGGCTTTAAATTATTAAGCTTATTAATCGTTGTTCTCTGATTGTTAAAAAATATATACATTTCTCTTGTGATGCTTTCCATTGGACCAGCAGCAGCAGCTTTAAACGACTTTTTAATTCGATGATCTATTGTTTTCCAAATTTCAAAGAAAAATAATTTTCTTCCCATTTTAAATGGGGAAATTTTCTTTTCTTTTCAGTTTTCTTCTCTTTCCTTCAAAAAAATGAAACAGAATTCTCCTTTTCATGGAGAGGGTAATCCACAGACAAATTAAATTGCTCAGTGAATGCATTGTAATATTCTGAAGGTAATTTGTTTGATTTCAACCCATGGTGCCTGTTTAATTTGTATGTCTGATGAATTGCTTTTTTAAATTACCAAATAAAACAAAACAACTCATTCAAAATGTGCAAATATATTAGAAAGCTCAGCAACAATTTTTTACCATTATTAATATTATTAAAGAAATGTTAATGGGAAAATTATGTTTAAATATTTCTTTTAATACCGCAGTGATGTGTAAAGCATACTTTAACTAAAACACACTTTCTTGCTGAAATAAAGTTTTTCCAGATGGGCTGGGGTTTGTACAGGAATACTCATGGAAATTGCATAGGGGCCGGGGGTCATTCTTGTGTTAAAAATATGGGAATTCCAGCGACTGGGTGTCTACATGAAATTCCCTTAACGGAGGGGTGTGGATCCATATTTTGTGGATCCACACAAAAAGACTGGTGTTGTTATATCATCAGTTACTCAAAACAAAATAATCAAAATACAAGTAACCATGGTTTTGGTGGTACAAAGGTACTGATAAGTCTTTCAATGCAATGGGTTGGAGGAGTCAACTGGATCAACTTGCTGGTTGAGTCAATTGAGTCCAACCTCCTGACTGGAGGAGTAAACTGCTAGCTCTAAGGAAACTCTGGTTTCCATACACAACATGAAAACACTAGAAGTAGTGTGTAGATCCTGAAAATATCCATGCCCTCCATTTAGTATTTTCGTTTTTTCACCCTCCCCCCTCCACCCCTCCCCTAAAGAAAAGAAACTCCTCTGGATGTTCCAGGCAGCTTCACTCTTTTTTTTGCAAAATTTTGTCTGTAGATATTCCTCACCCCCTTAGAATTTCTAATGACCTTCTGTGGGGTGGGTATGGATATTTTGTGGAATTGTGCATTGGTACTCCCTGGAATGGAATGGGAGAAGTCAACTGTAAGTAATCCCCAGGCAATTTATTAGGTTGCTGCAAAAGTTCTCCAGTACCAGAAGCATATAACCATTTCGGGGTTACCTTATGCTTCTGGCCAGTACCCATTCATACTTCAGCGTGAAGACCAAGGGCAGATCTAGGGGGAGGGTGCAGGGGGTGGGCACCCCTACCTGGGATGAAGCCTTCTTCGTATTTACTTTTAAAATTTGTTTACCCCACCAGTCAGATATGCCATTCCTTAGTGGTGCACCCCCTCCTAAGAAAAATCCTGGATCCGCCCCTGAAGAGGGTATTAGTTTCTTGCTAATAACACACCTCAGTGACCCCAGCCAGGGCTCAAACCCTGACAGGTTAGTCAAAAGTATGGCTCACCAACCACTGGACCACCACAAACCAAGTAATACAGTACCTAAAACTAAAGATCTCACTCTTTTTTCCAAATTTTAATGTATTTTCTATGTACAACCACTTCTATCTGCAGGGTAGATCATGAACAGACCAAGATTAACAGCAATGGAAATAACAGCAACAAATTCCAGAAGACCCCTCATCCTCTACATAATGCAACTACATATGACAAAAGGAAAATAATGGAGAGTGGCAATTCTTATACATCTGAAATTTCTGCTGTGGACCATGGAAACCTTTCAGAAAGTAAGCATGACTTAGGGGAAAAGATATACTCTTTAATTGAAGGGCGACATCCAAATGATGCAGAAAAATTGACAGGAATCTTATTGGAGATGGATGATAAAAGTTTGGGACACCTGATCAAAGATGCAGACTTGTTAGAAAAAAAAGTGGAAGATGTTTTGTCAGTCTTGCAAAATAGTAAAGAACAGCTAGAAAATGGGCAGTTGCAGAGTGAATCAGCTGTGTTAAGAGAGGCTCAAGATAAAACATCTATTGGAGAAGAGCTGTATGAGCTGGTTTATGAACTTAATTCCAATCAAGCTGACAAGATAACAGGAATGCTTCTTGAAATGGACCTTCCAGATTTAGAAATGCTTGTTAAACACCAAGCTGCACTTGAGGAAAAAGTAAATCAGGCTTCAATGGCACTTAACAGTCAGATTAATAAACATGAAACTACATCTTCGAAAGCTGTGCAAGAAGACAAAGCCCTTCTTGGGGAACAACTGTATTATTTAATTAGTGAATGGTATCCTTATCAAGTGGATAAAATCACAGGCATGCTGTTGGAACTTGATGTAACTACGTTGAACCTGTTAGTGGCTGATTCTGCTACACTTAAAGAGAAAGCTGCACATGCAGCCAATGTCCTAAGTGAAAAAAGCACGGAAAAAGAAATTCCGCACAGCTTAGCATCAACAAAAAACTCTGTTCAAGAGTCAGGAGATAAAGTATTATTATCAGACTCCGAAATGAAACATGCTTTAGCAGAGCAGATTTATGGCATTATAGAGCAGTGGTATCCAAACGAGGCTGAAAAATTAACAGGAATGTTGATGGATATTGACTGTAAAACTCTGGAAACTCTGGTCTTGAATGAGGAACAGTTGAAGGAGAAACTTGAAGGAGCATTAGTTGCTATACACGAAGCAGAACAAACTGAATCAGACAGGTGAACTCCTAATTTACATGATCTTTTCTTTCTGCATGGCTGAAGCAGGGCTGTCATTCAGGGCCGTAACCTGTAACACCTGTCATGGCTGAGTATACTTGATCAGCCTTTGATGTTACAGGTGAATCAAACTTGTCTGAAGTTTATACAATTCACCCATAAAGTAGCAAGTTTGTTGTGGGTGTGAAGATCAAGGCTACAGGTGAAGCAAAACTTAATGACAGCCCTGCTGAAACATCTCCCTGAAAATACACTTCCAAGAGATAACTGTTGTGTAGTGAGTTCAATGCTTCTATTCTATTCAAAATGGGAAAAATTAGTGAGGATGGGTATTTAACTTTCAAAAAGATTTAACAAAGCCACCCTCCATCCCAACCAGTGAATGATACAAGTCTATCAAAATTGCCATTAAATTTTTTTTCCTGATTATATGCCCCACTCTCCCTCCCCCTCCATTGCAGTGTAGCTTCTTTTGTATTTTATCTCTTGTCACAGTATGCATGTTCCAAGTGATAACGGTGGAGTTTGTTTTGTTTTAGACCTTGTATTCAGAGAGTTTGAAAATGCACCAAAAATATTTCTTATGCAAGTTTAAAGACCTCCAAGTAGTATATCCCCCCTGATAGAAAGGTCTACCCCAAAATGAACCCAGCATTTCTTCTGCCACTCTTCGTCTTCTTTAAACTCCTGATCTCCTAGTGGAGCATAAGCCAGTAGCCATTGCTTTCCAGCAGGTCCTGTTCTGCACAACTTTCTTTGCAGCAGCCCAAGTTGTTCCCTGTTCTTTTAGCTCTGCCATACAAGCTCGCCTCCTTGACTGGCTCAGTCTGCCCCCTCCTTTATTTTCCATGGAGGCTCCACTTCAATGCTGCCTTCGCTATACTGCTGTCAGGTCTCCTGAGGGTGTGACCAATCCTCTGTCAAACCCAAAGCTTTCTGACCTATCAGTTGCCACAGATCGTCATTTCTAATCTTCTCTTGCCATCTTATGCGAAGAAGGCTCCTCAGGCACTTGTTAACAAAAACTTGGAGCTTGTTTACCAGGTTTTTCATAGTCTAGCAGTTGTAAAAGAATATCTTTCCTTTTTCATTTCACAGGGAATTAGCTAACCTTCGCAACCAAGATGACATTGTCAAAGAAGAATTAGGAGGAAAACTGTATGAGAAAGTTGAGGAATCTCATCCTGAAAATGCCGATAAAATAACAGGGATGCTCTTAGAAATGAGTGTGGAGGAAATCGAGAGACTTCTGAAAAATTCACAAGAGCTTCTAGAAAAAATACAACTTGCGGAAAATGCTTTAGGATAAACATCATTTTCGGCATCAAGAGTTTATTAAAATGCAAGGTGAAGTAGCTGTTTCTGAGTCCAAATCAGATTTGGTTCCAGGTTCATCTTTAAAATTCTCTTTATGGTTTCCCATATACGGTCTGTCAAAACAACCTTATTATCTCATCCTGCGATCAAGCGGGTAGTTTTTTTTTCTTTTTTTGCTGTTTATATTCACTCTTTGTCTTCTCGCGCTATTTTTGCGCGACTCATATTAAAAGCAGACCACGAGCGCCAAAAAATCATAACGCCACCCTAGGTTGTAGGATATGTGCGATCGGCAGTTTGTCTTTCTGAGCAGGCCATAAATTGCTACAGTTTTGCAATTTGCAAAGAGGTACTTAATAGAAGGTCATGCTCATTTCATAGCTGGAAGAGGCAATCAGCTCAGCAACAAGTATCAAAACAGGTTCCCTATGAGCAAATGTTATACTTTTAGCGCACGTATCAAGAAAAGCCAATCAAATTCAAAGACAGTGCTTTTTGTTTAGTGTCACAAATATGGCCATAGAAGGAGATCTTGAAACAATAGCTTTAGCACCAAACAAAGGCTTATTAATTCACGAGGGAAATTCAAACTTGCTGTTATTACAATAGCGACATTCACGAGAGGAATTAAAAGATAGTCGATCACTGCACGAGCGGGAAATTTGAATATTAATGTAATGGTGAAACACATCGTTTACGGAAGGAAACGACTATTGCTTTCTCTGTCGTAAATTGTGATCACGCTGGAAAATAAAAATTGGTGCGATCCCAGGTCATCACAGTTTCTAAGGCAAGCTAAAAGCCTAGAGAAAGTCTGCGTCGAGGGCTAAGGTTATCGCTGTCTGTACGGTTCGGTGCATATCGGTAAAGGGTCTCTTTACGTTTTCTTGACAGACTGTATTTGTCCGCCTAGCTATACATGGGGAAAAAAATGCTACAAAAGGTCAAGAGGAGGGAAGGGAAGTTAGAAATTCATTATTGTTGGGATTCAAGGGTTAAACAGCTTATAAATCTTTGGGTGGGTACGGCAGATATACCATATAGTGTACAGATTCATTGCAGAGGGTATCAAAGTGATTAATTAAGGCTATTGAGTCTAAAATCTTGAAGATCTATTTTAATGTATAAACAGGGTAGTCTATATTATTAACATGAAAGGATGGGTAATATAAAAAAGATGCATGGGTAATATAAAAAAATCAATATTGAAAATAATGAAAAGGTGTGGTGAATAAAAAAAAACACTTTTGATACAGGTAGTTGGCATTGCTTCGCCCGTTATGAACTGCGAAATCGCTGCGAGATAATGCTCATTTGGGAGAGGCGTTGGCCTAAAGGCCCTGTTGCACTTGGGCCCCGTTCCACACTACGCCAGAGGAATTGGAAAACGGAGGTTTCATTCGGAAAACGCATCAAATGTTTTGCCGTCCACACTACGCCGGAGGAATTACAAGACGCAACAATCACCGGTCATTTTGGATTTAATTGTGTTAGGGGAAAATTCGCGGAGGGAAATCAAATCGTGACGCCATCGTTTTCGAAAAGCTCCGTTTTCAAGGTCTTTTCCGTCCGCACGAAAACGAAAAGCCAGCGTTTTCAAATTCCTCCGGTTTGAAGAGCGTTTTCGAAAAGCTCCGTTTTCGTGACGGGTTAGTATCGACAGTAGCCCTAACCGTAGAAATAAAGTTGCGATTTCAAATTTCTCCGGCGAAGTGTGGACGCTGTCTTAACCTGTAACTGGAAGTTCTTTGTTCAAATCTCGGCGGACACCAGACAAGCTGCGCCAGAGGTTGGTTAATGTAACACTCCTTAGAAACACGTAAGGAAGATTTTTTTCAGCATTGCAGCAGTCGTTCCATGCGAAAAGTAGAGAGTGATTCACTTTGTACCCCCGGGGGGGGGGTACTCCCTTTTATGGGTTATGTAGGTATATGCAGCCCCAAAGGGTATGGTTTTTCAGCCGTTTTGGTCATAAACAGGGTATAGATTTGGCCATTTTGGTCTTAACTAGGGTATGGTCTGTACTCTAGTCTTGAATTGACTGTGTTTTTTAGAAGAAGCTACTTTTTCATCATTATCGATAAGACCATAAACCGTGAAGCCCTTCAAAAATTATGTTTAGGGCAACTGTGTCAGCCGCAACGGTCATAAATAAAGTATCAAATTTTTGCCCAGGTCATAAATAGGTTTGGAAAAATCGTAGAGTTTCGTCATAAATAGGGTAAGGGTTTTGGGAAACGGGTCGCACACCCCAACCAAATTTTTCGGAAGTACCGCCCCCCCTCCCCCCCATCCAGGTTCGCACCACACTTGCTACAACAACTGTCACAAGTGTTACACTACAGCTGGCGCTTTTTGTTCCAAATTGTTGCAAGAAAAATTTCTAAGTGTAGAAGCGCTTGGGCAAGACACTTTTAACCTCAGTGCCTTAGTTTCTTCAAGCAGGATCTGCATCGGAACTGGTGAACCTTCATGATCAGTGCGCCAGACAAACTTACTGCTTTAGCCAGGCATCCGTACCCGGATGTGGAGAGCAGCAAAAGGCT